CAGCAGGCATCTGCAAAGTCCTCGGTGTGGCTTCCTCTCCTTCACAGTGCCCTTAAGTCCTGCCTTCACTCCTAGCTTCCCCTTCAGCAGTCATTTCCAGTTCCCTGCCTTGGAAAACCCTTCTCTTGGAAAGCACTTTCTCCTCATCCTTGGGTTCCCTGGGTCCCAGCAACTTGGCAGCCAGATCCTGGCAAAGTTTTATTAGCTCTGTCCGATGACTAACGTGGTTTCTCGATTTCCAGGCAGCAGCTGGTTCACATCTGGCTGCCCTGGCTCCATGGGTCAGTGCATTTCTGCAATCAAAAGGGCTGGGAGTGGGTGGGGGAAAGGAGACTGAGGGGGTCTCAAACTTCTGTTGCAAGCTTTTACTGAGAAAAATGAGATGTGGCATCACTTCCTTTGATTCAATGATAAGGTTGATCTGCTCCTGCCTCCCAGCAGTCAGAGGATGGCAAGAAGCTCTGCCCTGGTTTCCTTCCCTGTAAAATGCAGCAAGGACAATGCCTGGCTGCTTGGAAATGCTTAGCTGGCAGGTGGATGGCCTTGCTCTTCCAGAGGCTTTGGTCTGCCAAATGATCAGCTGCCGAGGAGTTAAACTACTGTTTAAAAGAGTTCTCCGTTAGACCTCAAGGATGGGATGTAGCACCTCCAAGACCCTTTGTCAGGCTAGTTTCCCCACACGAGTTCGTGTTCCCCTTACACCCCAAAGGTTGGTTGTGTGCTCAGGGCCCCTACCCCCCAGCTCTGAAATCACAGTTGAGATTGATTATGATTTGTTCTTTTAATTAAGATTGAGAGTCTGGAACCCCAGGGTGCACCAGCCTCGGGAAGAAGGACAATTATGCAGCAATTACGCAGCCTTGTAATCACATTATACATGGGATGTAGACTGAGATCTACCAAAGCCATTGTAAATAGGCCATCAGCAAACCCAAGAGATGCTAAATGACCTGGGCACCTTTAGCTCCTTGCTGAGGGGCTTGGATTGGTGTTGGATAGGAGACACTAGTGGAGAATGCCATGTGAGCTCATATCTTGGTTGAACTCCTGTCCCTGCACCCTCATAGCATCCATCAGTGCATCTCTGCCCGGCAGGCATGTGGTCCCCTCCCCTACTCTTATGAGCGGGTGATGCATCAGAGTTACCACAGAGCTGGGAGATGGTGAGTGCCTCCTCCCAAACCAGGGTGTCTCAGCTCATCCCTCCTCCTAGTCTCTGCTGGTACATGGGGCTCCCTGGGTCTGGGCAGCCCTCCTGATCCTTGTCTTTTATTCCAGTTGGAGAGGAGTAAAAACTGGGCAAGCCTACACCATACCTTTTCATAACACTCCTCCAGATACTGTTTCTAGCCCAGGGGTTAGGAGATGAAAGCCCAACTGTATATACACAGGATGGTTGAAACAAACAATAAAGGTGTTTTGGAGACAGGGTCTGAAAGGTCAGGAATCTTTGACTTGTGCCTTGATAAGCACTGGCCGAGCTGGCATCGCTCAGGACCTTGGGCATGTTCCAGTTTAGGTCTCCTGGCTTGGAAATACACTTTGACGTGGCTCACCCAGAGCCAGCCCAGGTTTTCTGCACTGTGTTTCTCCAGTCCCATCACCCCAGGGTGGCAGAACTGCCACATGGGTGCCAGTGACACAGACATGGTCTGTTTGCTCCCAGGATGGCCAAACTTCTGCTGAAGCCCACCCTTGTGAAAGGAGGGAGCAGAAGCACAAATTCACTTGTGTTTTGCTTTGGTTTGGCGCTGGGTTCAAAAAACGTGTATTTCCCTGCTCCCCCTCCCTTCAAAGAGCCAGGCAGCAGTGTTGGCACTCCGATGCCTGCACAGCCCTTCCTCCAGGACCAGCGTCGCGTTATTAAGTGTTTCTTCTGTTGGACGCAGAAATCTCAGATTCCAATACCGATTCTTCTCCTGGTTTTCATTCCCTTAATTCCTCCTCTCTGGTTGTTTCTAACTAGCAATGCTAACCCGCGCTGCACTCGCCATTTATCCTCTGCTAAAAGCAGGCTTGGGCTGGAATTAAATGGAGCGATGCGGGCTCGGTGCTGCTTTTTCCCACCGAGGGAGCTGGGGTACGGGGTCAATAGGAGCTGTGTCGAAACCAAGCAGGTTGCTGATGTGGTTTATGAGCCTTTGGATAGTGTTTACCCAGGGGAGCTTTTGCTACCCTTGCCTGGCTGACCCCGCTCTCCTCTTGCTTGTGGAGAGCGAGAAGATGCCCATCAACAGGGTAAGCAGGGTACGCAGCAGGGAGGGCTGAACAGGAAAACACCCTCAGAAAGCTTCCTTTTTCCTCCCCATTTTTCTAGGAGAATAAATAAGTCCTTGAGGGACCAACATCTGCTTGCCTAGTGATGCTCTGTGCTTATCCTCATCTGGCTTTTCTCGCTTGCTAGCTTCTTTTTCTTCTTTTCTCACAGTTTACAAATTAGTCAGCTTTGCCCAGTGAGGGAGAATTGATTCTTATGATGAAACACCTTTATTTTTTAAATTTTTTTTATTCCTTTCTCTTTTTAAGCCTTTAAACCCAGATTTTCATTCCCCTGAAAGCAGCCAGGAGAGCTCTGAAACGAACCCAGACACCTTGTCACACTCACCGAGAGCTGCGAAAACAGTCTACTTTCCCCTTGCCCGGCTGGTAGTGAGAAATTTTCCTGTCTGAGTTTAAAGGCAGTGTCTGGAAAGCATCTGGGGAGGGAAGGGCTGGCTTGCTGGTGGCATGGAAGCTGGAGACAGTGCTGTTTGGCAGGGTGATTTCTTAGGCCCTGTCTAGCCAGTGTATGGATCTACAGCTCCGGGACCCAGGGGTGGGGAGATAGGGGAGAGGATGCTCCTGCCTCCTTGGAAATGGAGTTGTCCAAGAGGGGTGACTATATGGGGCTGATCTTGCAAAAGTGCTGAGCATCCCCCTCCCGTGTAAGGAAGTGCAGCTGGCGTCCACGTCCCTGCAGCACCCTGTGAGCCCTCTCCCTTCTCCTGACGCAAGGGTGCCCCAGTGCATCTGGGAATGCAAAAATCCGGGCTGAAATCTCTTCTGCTGAGCTGTTCAGGTTTAAACAAGCTTGTGAACAGGGGCTGCTTTAGCAGGAAACCCCAAAACTACTTGTCCAAGTAGTGTGGTTTGGGACACTGCCACTTTTATGAGGGTCTGTCGGGCCACGAGAGCAGATGATGGCCCAAAAGCCACTCCTGGGGACACGGGTAGGGTGCCCAAGGTGCCACGTTGTCGTCCCCAGGGCCTGGCATCCTCCCTGCAGCCAGAGGTGTGGAAATTCCTCATGGGGCAGCTCCCAAGATGAGATGTTCATTGTCAACAGCACTCGAAGGTACGTCTGCCTGCCAGCCCGTCCCCTCACCCTGAACACCCCTCTGGGTCTGAAACAGGGGAAAAAAAATAATGAAAAATACCATTTTGTTCCAAGACCTGGAGTAGTTTTTCAGCCGTGTCCTTCCCTGCAGGCAGAACTAGGAAGGGATGTGCAAGGTGTGTATGACAAGGTCCAGCTGTCACTGGAGGTGCAGCACAGGGGTTTCTTCCAAGTCTGCAGTTTCGTCCGTAAGCACCAATGGTAGCGAGGAGGGGAGCGTGGGGTCCCCGGCAGGGTTACGATGGCTGGAGTTTCATTGTCCAGCCATCTGCAGGAAAACTAACCCTGTAGGTGTGCACAGAGCTAGCTGCAAGGCTGGTCAGCTCCCTAACCCAGCAGACAAATAGTCCTTGCAGGAAGGATGGGGTCAACGCCACCAAGGGCCATACGAAGGTCCTGCATCACCCTAAAATGCTCTTGGAATTGTGTGCTGGGACTGTTAAGAGGCTGCAGTGAAATCCTCCCTCCATTCCGTTACCCACAGCAGGATCAGGACTATCAATGCTGGATTTTTACGAAATTGAGACACTGGGATGGGTGTCTTTGCCCCACAGTGGTAAAGGATGGCAACCCACCAAGAGCCACTCGTGCTACCCCCTGGCTGGTCCAGTCTCAGCACATGTCATTGTATTTCTGAACACCTTAAAATCCCCACAGCTTCTCCAATTTATGGCATTTTTCTACCTCTTTTCTCAGTGTGAGCTGCAGCTTTTGACTGCTAGAGCTGGCACCTGCTACAGCATCACCTGGAGCCATCAGCTTTGCAGCGATGGGTCGAGTGACCCAGCGAGAGGGAATTATATATAGCAAGACAGGAGATAGAGATGTCATTAGAGAGAAACTAGGAGCCAGGAGAGCACCTCTGGGCCTGTTTTTTTTGTGGATGAAAGGAGCTTACTTCATCGAAGAGCTTTATTATATTCAGATTCCCATTTAGGTTTCTCCAAGTTGTACAACAAAAGGAATACTATATGATCTTGCAAAATTTATGTTACAAATCAATGTAACCTGCATAAATCAACGCAGTCGAAGCAAGAAGGTAAGGGTTGGGGTTTTTTTTCCAAGTGCCTTGCTGTGACAAAGTTGCTGCTTTAGAAATGAAAGATGCTGCGACCAGCTGGAGAAGACCTTAGGAAAATGTCACGCCTTCAGCAAGATACATCTCCTTGCTCCCTTTTTTTCCCTCGACTGGGTAAAGAAGAAATCACTCTCCAACTTTCTGCACAAAGTGACCTGCTTAGAGAGCCGATGGGAGTTCTACACATTGCTCAGAGCTAAAACTTCTTGTAGACGTAGATAAGCGTGCAGGCAAAACTTCAGGGCAGCAGGGATGGTGGGACTCTCGGACCAGGAGGAAATCTGGGGTCAAAATCAGGGTAGGAGGGGGCTGTCTTGGAGCCTCTTTCAGTCCTCCAGGTAAGGAAATCAGCTTTGCCCTCTCTCAAGATTGTTTTGCCCGTAAAGGTTTTCCCCCAGGGTGTTTAGGTATGTGGGATGTGATGGTGTGAATCAGCCTGGTATGAACACTCTGCTCCACATGTCCAACTTGGGTTGACATCTCTCCCTCCAGGCTTGGGCCTGCAGAGACTGCACATGAGAAGAGGCCAAAGCATGGTGGACAAGAAGCAGAAGGAGAAGATCCTTCTGCTGAGCTACTTGTGCAACCCAGAGGCTGGTAAGCAGGCAGGGGGGACTGGGTCATGCACGGCCCCCAGCCGTCTCTAGGGAGGACCTTTCCCACTGGCATTTGGCAGTGCCAATCTCATCTCTGCCCTCCAGCATAATGAGCAGGTCTGGGTGGCCTCTCACCCAGCAGAGTACCTGCAAGGCTTTCACAAGATGCTTCTGCTCTTCCGTCTCATGGTTGAGAGGGAACACGAGGTCTATTGGCTCTTCCATTTCTTCCTCAAGAAACCAGTAAGTTTCTGGGTGCTTATTCCTTGGATCAAACAGTCAAGGTGGTGAAAGTCCATAATTGCTCCTGGCCTGATGCTCCTCCACCCTGGGGCAAACAGCCACCTACAGCCTTCAGCTCCCATCTGCCCCCCACCAGGCATGGTCCCTTCTCCCGGTGACCTCTCCATGAGCATCAGTTTGGGATGGCCCTCATCCAACTTCCCCTGGCAGTGCTGATCCCTGCAGTGGATGGAGTTGTAGTAAAGGGGTCAAATCCCCTACTATCAGGGCTTTGGGCTTTGTGGTGATGGACAAGCTGGGCCATGGAATATTTCCCTGCCCTGGGTTCCTGCTTTCCATGTCCCTCAGGAGCACAGCTCTGTGGTGAACATAGGTGTGGGGAAGAGCTTCTTCATGCTGAAGACCTCGGTTCCTTTTATGGATCCTACCTTTGCAAAATACCCGGATGAGTCTAAAGCCCTCCTCAGCACCCCCTAGACCCAGCAGAAAACACCCTCTTAGATCCAGCACCATAATTTCAAGGGGAAGCCAGCAAAGGAGAGTAAATGTTTGCACAGCGACTGGCAGGTCACCTAAACCTGCTAAATATGCTGATGACGTGGGTCAGGGCCACTGAGCAGGGGTCATGCATCTTGGCCCTCCTGAGATGGCTCTGTGGTGAGTTTCTGGAAGACCTTAACCCTTTGCGCTTGGTCTTCTGAGTTTATCTCCTTTACCTAGTGAGCTGCATGAAGAAGGACCTGAAGCTGCAGCCGTTGAGGTCTCCTGAGGTGTCCTCCACAAGCCAGCCATGCCCATGTCCAAGCCAACGCTGCTTGGGTGGAAAATGTTCCCTCTCCTCCAGGTTTAAAAGCCTGATTTTCTCTGGCCAGATTGGCTTTTGCCACCCATCCCCATGGCTCGCAGCTTCTCCTGTTTGCCCTTAAAATACAGCATTGTCTCTGACCCGGGGTTTGCTTTTCTCATCTTTCAGAAGGAAAAGGCCCGTGTGTTATTCACTCCTTGGTTCCCTGCTTTTGCTTCTCCTTCCAGCGAGTATTCAAGTCCTTCGACAATGTCTGGAGGCTGTGGGAGGTGAGTGTGTGCTAAAGTCCCATCCTTGGTCATCCCTACCTGCCCTTCATCTGCCCAGGCACCCTGAGCATCCCGCATCCCTCCAGCCAGCCCCATCCATCTGCGGCTCCTGGTCCATGGGAATGTCAGAGGTCCCTCTCCTGGCCACTCCTTCCTCAGACCCACTTCCCCATGGCTTTAATTATCTCAATAAATATTTGCACAAACTCCCCCTGCCCTCACCCATCTCAACGAAGACGGTGCAGCCAGTGTTTGTTCTCATTATCCTCCGGCTGATGGGGAATCACCTCTTCAGAGCCATCCGTGGCTCAAGAGGTCCCTGAACTGTAAATTGCTTTTTTTTTTTCAAAGGACTATATCAAAACCAAAATGTAGGGACCCCAAAAGTACCCATGTGCATCAGATGTGCGGGTTGCTCTGACTTTTTACGACCTGTCACAGCCCTGTAAGACACCCACCCATAACCTAGGGGGTGGATCTGAGGTCTTCTGAGAAGGAACATCAAGGAACTTGGGTTGCTGCTTTATTTATTCTGTAGCTTGTCAGGGAACTTAACTCGTATTTGAGGGTCTGGTTATCCAGGTTTGGAGCTTTTGCCTGCAGACTTCCCCTGATGTTAACTCCCTCCGTGCCTCTCTCCCATCTGCCCCCCGAGGTTTTCCTGGTGGGAAAGCCCTGCCAAAATTCCC